TAACAATAACTTATAATATAAACATACTATATAGAGAACAACATGTTCTTCTACTTATGAAAGAGAGAGGTGGCAGGAGCACTACTGGTGTCCCTCAAACCACTGGTGCTCATGGAAGGAAATACATGTCAAAAAACTAGAGGGAAAACTTAAAAAAATATTGTCATTAAAAAATCCAGGCACAGTGGTAAGAAAAATATAAAGGGCCTTTACTTCAATGGGCTTGAAGCATTGAAATACACCAACACCTATCGGCTTATGCTTTCATCTGGGTGTCAACACACCCTTATCTACCTGTGCGACTGAAGCGAGGCCAGCTGTCCTTGGGACTGGTCATCCAGGTGCTGCGGTGAAACTGCCTGTTTCGATGTCGAGGTCTGGCAAAAGATAAGCAAACAATTAGAAGAATTTACGGTATACAGAGCTGAGGACCTGAACTATCAATTTTCAAACAAACTAATGTTTTCTTTTTACCTTTGGTCTCCGAGAACAGCTCGAGCCCCAAAATATCTCTTCAGCTCCGTCTCTGAGTTGAGATTCCTGATGAATTCATAGAGAAAAGAGCAGATTGACAAATGACAATTTAAACCAGTTGAGGAAATATGGTCCAAGGGAAACATGTTTTGATTTTTCTAGACGTGCTGGTCCATGTCTGCTTGTTGATCAAAAAACACAAATACAGACTTATCAATGATTACATAATAACTATATAAGTTTTATTGTGATTTTTAAGAGGAGGCATTGACAAGTTGACAATTGAATTGGAACAATGTCAAATTAAGTTTATAAAAAAAGTTTGCTTTTGTTTTGACTGTTGTTGAAATTGCCTGCTCAATATTTGGTGTGCAACAAATTTCAACAATTTCTAACTTTTCATAATTCTGTGCTAATTCACTGTAGAGCATCATCCAAGATTAATATTCTCTAGTCTAAACAGTTTAAAGACTGTTTGGAGACACCATTTGTGTGGTGTCAAGCTCCCCCACGTGGTGGCAGTGAGGAATCACACAAATATTGAGAATCATATAAACTGTGTAGTGTTTAATAGCTAGTATCACTACTCCAATGGACAAATTTGTGCATTACCAGCTTCAATTTATTTAACAAAGCAATGACACAGCACTATAATCCAAGTAGGTTGAGTGCTTTTAAGTGTACACAATATTATTTAATCATCCACTGAGTGAATAAAAATGAACAGACAGAAAAAAAGCTCTTGTCTGGGTCTATTTATTGTGTCAACATGAGGTGTTTGTCTCCTCACCTGTGCTCAACATGTAACACCGATCGTCGTTCAGAGCCTCCACAATCTTCATTCTGCAAACTCAGGCCATTGGGCTGCTCCAAGTCCTCCAGCAATAAATCAATGTTATCATCCGGTGCAGCCTTTTAAAACCACACAGAGAGATTATTAAAAATAATTAGTGAAGTAAGTGTAACAACGTGTAATTGTTGAATGGCTAAAATGAGCTATAGTTTGCTTACTTTCTTTGTCTCTCCAGAATGATTCTTAGTTATTTATTCATATTGTCGGTAAAATTATTTTGATTATAAATTTAAAGAATGCAAACAAAAATATTACTAAAGTGATCAATTAGAGGGTGAGTTATCATTTAAGTTTTAGAGCAGATATTAACCACTTCTTAACATACCTGTCTTTCCTCTGATGTCACTTTTGTCTTCTTCTTTTTCTTCTTCTTTTTAACTCTGTCTCCAGACACAGACTTTTAAAGAAAAGAGAGATGACAGTTTAAAAATGTGCAAAGATACACATTTAGATCAGTAGAATATTTAAAACAAAACAGAAGATCATAGAAAGAGGCCCCCACTACCCTCACTTAGTCTTTACCTTTGTAGATGTTTCCTGTGATTTGCCAGTGTCTCCATTTCCATTCCTTTTATTTCCATCAGGTTTCTCTGCCTCTTCATCAGGTGAGATTTTCTCTGCCTCGTTGTCAACATCACATATCTAACAAAATGTGAAATTGACATTAAAGCTAGATGCTAGTAAAACAAATACAAAGCTGGATGAAAAAAATGTAACCAGCAAAAACACAACATCTTTACCTGAAGTCATTTCATGGTTACACTTACAACAAATCCAGTTCAAGATGTCAAAGTTGCAGAAACACAAACTCCCTGTTGTGAGCCATGGCTCTTGGATGGCATGGCATGAATAAAACGCAAGCATTACCATAGAGTTTAAATTTATGTATCACAACTCAGCGAATATACAACTAAATCATGTAAAGTCCTGTACAACATAATCTGTTCGATACCATCTTTAACAAAGGTATGAAGGGATCCACAATCCATTGGCATCTGTCCTAAACATTATTTACCTTAATTAATTGTCTTTACATTCAAATGACTGATAATTCAGGTAAACTGTAGCTGGAGGGACATGTTGGTTCATGTGCACGTTTTTAGCTTGTTGTCCAAACAGCGACCTTGTTGGCAACACTGAGCTAACAGCGGGGCTACAGGAGCTGAGCTAACACACACCACAGCTAGCATGTGTTAGCAAGGCTCCTCAACAGAGAGCTAGCTACACTGACGCAGGAGCTAACAACACGTCGCCACCTTACCACTTCATAAATGTTGCTGAAGTTTTTCTGAGCCTTGTTTTTCTTCGCTTTCTGGCCGCTGTCTTTCCTCTCAGACGGAGGGGAGACATTAGCCACGTCCAGCTGCTCCTGCTCCTGCTCCTCCTCAGCCTGCTGCTCCTGCTGCTGCTCCTCAGGACCGACACTCAAAGTTAGCTCCCCGAGGTCCAGGGCCTCCTGACCCCGCTGTTTGCCCCGGAGCCTCCGCAGAGCCCGGGTAGACATGGTCCGCTACCCACGGAGACACGTACACTTGAATGTTTGTGATTGAATTAGTGTAAGAGAGCTGACAGCCTCTGTGTTGACCATTAGAGCTTCTTCTTCAGATGATGGTGGTGTTTAATGACGGTTGACAAACAACTTATTAGCGCATTACCGCCACCGTCTGGAGCGGAGTGTGAGTCAAACAAGTACCAAAGCGTGAGACAAGGCTGCAAAAAAATAACGATGCAATACGTTTATACTTATAGTGATTATATAATGTAAGCATCATTGCTGATTAACAGTTAAAATATGCTTTCAAAATAAATAGAACACTAGACTGGCACCCAGCAGAGTGCATCCGCCGACAGTTCCCTTGTGAAACCACATTTAAATTAAATATAAATATCGGTCCTGTTAACATGTCAGATTTTTTTTCCTTCAAGATCCATGAATGTTTCTATGGCCAATCAATGAAAATACCAAAAAACTCACAATAGAAAGTGGTGAGAAAAGGTTCCTGAACAGATCAGTTGTACCTTGAAGCATGTAACCTGTGTTTCACATGCACAGATGGGGAATTTGTATATCTGAGACTATGTTAAACCTCATAGTTAAAGATATGACTACATGCACACAAAATATTTCTGCAGCTACAAAACTTTATTACAGATTCAGTCTTGAAATTGTGAGACTTTCTACAATTCTTGAATGTACACATTCAGATGTTAAAAATGTTGTTTTTCCAAGCACACAAAAATGTGAATCACAACTCCAGGCCATTTAATTATTTGTGAAATTCATTTCATAATTTCAAACCGTCGATTATTCTTATTGCATCGAATGAAATATCTGATGCAACATGTTCACAACATGCTCAGTCTGATGATCTCTCAAGCAGAAAGAGGTGGTAACATGAGTAAAAGTGCCTGAACAAGACTGGCAGGTTTTAAAGAACTCTTTATTATGTTCAACATTGGTAAAAATGTTTGTGTACATGAGACTATAGGACTTTAATTTAAAACGTATTCATATGAGACATAAATGTATAATAATAAAAATGCCATTACATATTCTACATTGTTGGTGTGTCTCATGTTACAGCCCCACAAATAAAATGAGGAAGTAACATCTTACCTCCTCCAGCTGCTTCACAGGTCAGCTGTGACTGATAAAAATAAAATCATGTAACACGAGAAGAGACATGACACCAAAGTGAAACATGTCCGACAACTAGAAGTTGAGCCAAATTAATTTGTCTTTTATTTTTCCGTCATGAGCAAACAATGGATTGCAATGTGACAACAACGTAGGTAGAGAAACAATTGAGATAAGAGCAGGAAATTCTGGTATATTGAAATCCCTTGTTTGCGAAAGGGGGAAGTTGCAACTGTCATCACTTAAAATAATTCTAAGAGGGAAACTTGAAAAATAAGATGCATTAAAGTAAAAAAAAAAGAAGACATGATGATCCAGTGGGTTCAAAAGGTTTATTTATGAGACATTAAAAGTAGAGAAAAAAAAAGAAGTATGGTCAGTGAGAGGCTGACACTGGCAAAATACACGTCAATTTATAGCAAACAGTACAGTGTAGCTCTATTATTTTGATTTGTTGACTTAAAAATACAGAAATATGCAAGGGATAAGAACAAAGAATAATACACTATAAGAAGCGACATAATTTACATGTATCTCCTCTGTCTTTTGTTCAAAAGTAAAATATGCATATGTATATATGTATTTCTCTGCAGGTATAAAGGATGTTGTTCAGTCACCAGCTTTACTAAACCTCAGATAATTTATTTTTCCAGACTCACAGAACCTGGTGATGTCCCACTGTGACTGGTTTTAACCGTACAAAGCTCTCACTGCAGATACTGGATGACATACAGAGGATGGGGGACAGGGCAGGTTACTCATTTTCAGTAACAGAGAAAGGGTTGTCATAGGCTGCTCCTTCCAGGTCGTCCACCCGTTTCCTGTGCATCTCTGGAGGAGGTCTCGGAGGTGGATTCTGAGGAGGGTTCTTCATGCTCTCTGCTGGCTTTCGAACCTCCTTCCGTGGAAGAATGGGCTCCCAGTGTTCACCACGGATAGCTGCCTGTAAAAGCAAGAACATGAAGAACAATACCGGTCAGTAATGGTTGCTTGTATTGTGAAATCAAGTGAAACATGACTCAAACTTAAGGTTAAAATTCTAACAACAATTGTCCTCATTGCCAAATTTAGACCTGTTGGAGAATTTAGTCACACCCCAGACTGTCAGCTTTCATAATCACAGGGTTGTGTCTCAATAGAGGAAGCTGTAATAAAACAATCTCTTCCTTGTTACCATAAACTGGCCACTTCCTTCCTTCAGCTCACAACTTTATCAAGGTAGACAATATTTAACCTGTTGGACTGGAGAATAATAGGGTGACTACTTTCTACTCACAGCCAGGTAGATGAGGCTGGCGATGCCGAGGCAGACGCATCCGAGGACTGTGGCGAGCATGAAACCTCCAGGAACACAGATTCTAAAAACCAAAAAGACACAAAGAAACTTTCAGAACAATAGACCACATGACAAGTCGTTCTTTTGATGGATTGGATGTCAGTGAGAGGAATGCTGTTCAACAGAGGAAAGTGTCTGGTACTGTTCACTCACGCAGCATGCAGAAATGCTCTGACATAGTAGTTCTTTGTCAACGGCCCGAAGGCTTTTACACACACAGTGAAGCAGTGCTGACCCCTGAGGACGAACAAGAATCAGAAGTGAACAACGAGCTTTGTAATATTAAACTACAGCTGATTATGTTACAGAAATCTAAAATGATAAAACATCACTTACGTTCTCTCCATGCTCGTGCCCTTGGACCTCTTGCTTCTGGGATACTCCAGAAGACACACAAACACTCCGGCAGCACTAGTTTTCTGTCAAGGCTGATTCGTCTCACATGGGTCAATAGGTCACAATAACTCAATGACTGACAACAAACCCGAATGAATTTAAATAAACATGAGTGGACCTGATGGATGACTTGACTGACAGAAAGGAAAATGAACAGTAAGAATTCAGGAAGAACAATTACTTTCTGCCATGTTTTCTTTTCACCAGTTTAAAATAAATCAAAACTGAATTATGAATAGAGGTAGGCACATTTGAGACTGATTATAAATTATTACAAACCCTAATTCACTAAAACATGAGGCCAGGTTAAAATTTTGTGACTGCACATAGAGGGTAATTGAGCTTCTATCAATGCTGTCGACCCTATCTGGCGACTTTCAAATACTATAAATATGCATGAACTTGATCAGTAGTACATATATTTTAGCTCGAATTTAAGTCTTATGTGTACTTTTATGATTGTGATGTATGAAAGCTTACACAGCATGGTATTGTACTAAAAATAAAAAGCAAAAAAATCATAAAAATAAAAGTTAGATGAGAATAATAAAGTATATGGCTGTGATTTCAAAATAGCAGATCACTGAAGAAACACACACATTGAACAGTTTCACAAGAGGACATCTTAAACATGCCTCTTCTGTAGATTATGTTACAATACAGTCATTTGACATGACATGTCATTTTTTAATCCAAAACGACTTCAAACTTTCCTACAGTAGCACAGTAGAAGTGCAAAGTGTTCTTATCTTTTCAATAAAACAGAGATTACACTCGTCTGTTATGGATTATAAAAAGTATTTAAAGGATACACAGCATAAGCGGCAAACTCCCAGCCCCTGAACTGCCCGGCCACCCCCACAATACCTCCAGTGAGCAGAACTGAAAGGAGCAAACAGGAAGATGACATTTAAATGAAAATACAACAAATATATGTATAAAAACATATACACATTATTTGACTTTCAACAAAGACACAAGCTAATGATGAAGTAAACTTTTATGATGCAGTTTGAAGTTCTCATAAAATAGAAATAAAGTTACAGGTGCGTGCAAATATTGAATGTTACAATGCTGAAGCAGAACAATAACCATGCAGGTTTGAATGTGGACAACCAAAGAGTTGAAATACTCACTGAGTCCTGAAGCCAGAGCCTGCTCATTGGCCCACATCGCCCACTCTATCTTACCCATAGTGTTGACCTGCTCAGCTCAGTGCTCTGAAACTCTCTGAAAGTTTCCTCACTGACTCTCAGTTTTGATCGACTCTATCAGGAAGAAGATGTATTTTCCGAGATGTGAGCATGTGAGGTATGTGAGCTCAGGGGCGGGGCTTAGATAAACCACCACGCCCCGTTTGACGTCATTTCCCAAATGTCTGAGGCAAGTCAGACAGGTAAACTAAAAGTCAAACATGTGGAGAGAGTCACTTATAAATACTGATGGGTTAAGTCTAAACCCTTTTACAGAGTTCAGATTTTATCCATCAGTGAAGGAATGAGGGAGTTCTCTCAGTTCTACATTTGGCCAATCAAGGTTTTTTCAAAGCACATTTAGCTTTTACACTTTTTAATACACTTCAAGTTTCAAAACTAGAAGTTAGCAACTTGGCAACGTGAGTAAAATTATGTATAACATGCAATTTTCATGATTTGTTGTCATCTGTTTTATTTATGTATTTACAGAGGAAGGTCCAATGTCTCTTCTGCCAAGGAGTCCTTGGGCAGCAAATAAAATATAAATATGCGGGCGGATGCAGCTCAGGAGGTAGAGAACGTTGTCCACTAGTCACATGCTCGGCGGTTTGATCCCCAACTCTTCCATTCTGCGTGACGAAGAGGTCTCGGGCAACACACTAAATCTGAACTTGCTCCTGTGTTATTGATGTGTGATAGAGAAAGTGCTGCACAAAATGAATTATGAAAAATGAAATTGTTTAATGAAACATAATTTTTAAAGAACTTTGAACTTGCCTAGAGAGTAACAATTCCAAGTAAGTTCCTTAAAGAACAACAACTAATCTTGAAATGTCATGTTAATATAAATGACTATCCAAAAACAAGAAGGAACAACATTTTATTGACGAAAATATATTTTATTCTATTTTACAGAATAAGATGAACATCTCTGAAATAGGTTCTGTTTGTTTACAAGTATCCATTTATGGTCAAATAACTATAATAACCAAACACAGCAATGAAAACATAACCTCCTTTGGCTGAGGGAATAAATGTCTCTAAGAAATATTGAGAGCTATGAAAAATCGTAGAAGAATAAAGTGGTGTAAAGACTGAGAGACACCAGTTCAATTTGAAACATGAAGGGAGAAATATTAGCACCAATAATAGTAAAAGAGATGCCTGGTGTTTGTAAAAAAGTTATTTAGGACCACATTTGGCTTCTTTATTGCTCTGGGAAAGTTTGCTTCTTCAGGTCTTCAGGGCATCATGCAGTCTTCTTAGGCAGACCATCAGATCCAAGCAGATGCTGAGTGGGATCTTCCACAACACACGGGCCTGGTCCAGCCTTGAAAAACAAAACAAGAAAAGATCTGACTTTTACCAGAGAAAAACACTCAACTCAAGATTAGATTCTCTACCGGTGTGTCTGTAAAGCAGAGGAGCTGCTGTAAAACACAATATGTGTTACAATATTCAACCAAAGTAGTGCAACACAGTGTTACATCAACATGTTTAAAAGGAAATGCAGACGAATGATGAATCTAAACTTGTGTATGTGTACCTTGGTACTAATAATGTAGCTTAGTCCCTTCGGCATGGGCTCTAGACCAATAGCCTGCTTGAGATCCTCAGAAAGAGGAGCACAGTGACCTGGAAGACCCTTAATAAACCTGTAGAACAAGAAGAAAACTGAGAGGGCTGAAAGAAAACACACCTTAATATTTACGACTGAACAGAAAATCTACTTCTCAGAGAACTAAGCGGTAAAGTCCAGTGACTGTCAACTCACTGTCCTCCGTTGGTATCGGGAGGAAAAAAATGTTGAACCACTTGGACGAACTCAGGAACGTGCTGCTGCAGAGTGAAGATCACTGCATTTGGCCCTGCGTCAAAAGTGTAGGCCACCTAGAGGGAAACAAACCGATGGGGACTGTCATATAAAGATGAAGATTTTTTCTGTCTCTGTCAGAAGGCTACGACATAAGATTCACATCTTTATTACAACACCTCAGAAACTCAGCCATGTGAACAGACTCACTCTAGCTGTAATATAGAGGCAAGAAGGCTACAGTAACACACACTGTATGAAATATATTATTAAAAAACATAGACGCCATCACATACAAATTGTGTTTGTAGTTTGCATAATTTTAGCTTCATGAACTTCAAATGTGCTCTGAAATTGTACAATGCTATGTTTCTATTCTGCAGAACTGAATCAATCTTAATCAATTAGAAACAAATAATAAATGGATTTTATTTTTTAATTGCTAAAGTTATGAGATCAATTTGTACATATGCAGTAATAATAATATAGAACAAAAGTATGTAGACAGCGATCCAGTTGGATCTGTGACTCAGAGTTGAGAGGTCACTCACCCTCGTGTCCCCGTAGTGCCTGTTATATCGATGCACCAAGTTGATGACCTGTCGAGACACATTATTGAGGTAGAAGATGGGAGGGTACGTGTCAAGGCAGGTGGCGTGGAACTGGTTACTGTCCTTCATGGTCAGCTCAGCAAACTCAGTGAAGTCCTTTCTCTGCACCGCTTCGATCATCTCTACCATTCGGCCGGGGACCACAGACTCAGCCCGATGCTGGACACAGAAAAAGAATGGACATACACCATCTTGTGAGTATCACTCAACTGGGTTTAAATGCAGCACACTGACAGTGATGTAATTATTAATGTGTGTTGGAGGGTGAACACATTACCTTTAATAGACAGCTTGTTTGTACACTGGTTTGCATCCCAGAGGTGCTGCCGACTGGTTTCCGCTCAGCACTGGCCTGTGAGAAAAACACACATAAAATTACACCTGCTGTAACTTTGTACTAATCTCATTTAAAGTGGGGACGTTCAGTCACTTTATACATTACTACTCTCATTTAAACAAGTGCTTTTCACAGTAGAGAACGTATGTTCCAACACATCACAGGCACACGTTCATTCTTTAATTCTCTCACACACATAATCACACTTACAACAAGTACAAGGATTCTGAGCTCGGGCCAGTGAGTCTCTGGCTCCACCTGCTGCGCGAGACTGTCCTTGCCGTCATCTTTTTTCCCCATGATCCACTGCACGAAACCCCCATACATACTCCTACATGCGCTGCCTGAGCCTTGCCGAGCGATGCCAGACAACTCCCCCTCCACTCCAAACACCTGAGCCAGAGTGTAAACTGCAACAGACACACAGGGATAAAGAGGATATGTTATTAATTTGTATTTCTCCACGGGGTTAAATGTACTTAAAGATTCAGTGTGTAGAATTCAGCGATATCTAGTGGTGAAGTTGCATGTTGCAGCCCCTCACCTCACCCTCCTCGACAGATAACCTGTGATAGTCTTCAGTTGTCATAAAAACTCAAAAGGTGTTAGTTTGTCCAGTCTGAGCTACTGAAAAAAACATGGCGGTCTCCGTAGAGAGGCCCCTCTCCTAATGCAAATATATAGTATTTAATTTTAAAAGGCCCATTCTGGGGTAGAGAAAACAACATTTTGTACAATTTAGATGGAACACACCAGCGACAACATCACCAGGATTATTTTATATTAAATTTCTGTCAATAGATCTCTTTCACCTAAATCTTACACACTGGACCTTTAAGTTTGTGCAACTATTCATGTCGAAGAATGGACAGAGGCTAACATAAGGTAGTTTGTAGGTTGTTGTTGGGAATTGCCTTTGGTGTGATTACATTCCATTAATTCTCACCTAGGCAGGCGAATCCAGCAGCCGAGGAGGCGAGTCCTGCAGCAGTGGGGAAGTTATTAACTGAGCAGATGTGGACTTTGTGAGACAAACCGGTCAAATTCAAACCAGGGTCTCCATCATTACGTCTCTTCCGTGCTAATCTTCGAACTGCGTGCAGAACACAGAAGAATGACATTAGCGTGCACGCTCTCGGACTGGCAGAGGGTGAGAGATATCACACATCGGACTCACTCTCTCTGAGACAGGACTGTAGTCTTGGATGGTTTATGTCCTCCTCTTTGCCGTTGAGCCATATTCGATCCTCCTGAAATGATCTGCTCGTTGCAACAGTTGTGGTTGTTTTCAACTAAACAGAAGAAACCAAATGTATTACAACCCGTTGACCGTGATGTCACTGGTATGATCTCAAAATCAAAAACTTTAGCCTCAAGATATTTGCACATCACATCATCCAAGCACAATTCAAAGGCAATGTCCATTTAAAAAAAACAAACTGGTATCATATATTTATGCCATGCTACAACAACCATGTCAGACGGATGTTGACACTGTGCTCCAACACCAGCTGTGCTCCGAGATATTTCAAGAATAACAACAGTTTTATCTTTACAAGTGTTAAAATGATTACATGTTGTCATCCCCTTTTTTTAAATACTTATTTCATGTATTTTATTGTTTTGTGTTATTATAGCTTTATAAGGATTATTTTATGGAATTTCACTTTAAGCATTTTCTTTTCTTTTGTTTTGTCCTATTTTCAGTGCATCAGTCAATTGTGAAGCACTTTGAGCTGAACCAAACTGTGTGAAAGATGCTTTACAAATAAAGTTTGATCGATTGATATGATGAGGAAAACACACTCATTCACTGTAGCAGTTCTGGACAGGAGCAAAAAAAGGACATTTGGAAAACCTTCTGTTGTCTCTCTCTCTGCCTCACACACACACACACACACACACACACACACACACACACACACACACACA